GGCCTCTTGGGCAAGCTTTGGGCGATCTTTGGGGCTTTTTGGGCCGTCTCGGGCCAGCTTCGAGCCAACTTCGGCCATCTTGGTGGGTTCCTGGCACGTCTGAAGCCGTCGGAAGCCGTTTGGGGGGCCTCTATGGGCCGACTTGGGGCCCGCTTGGAATGCTCCAGGGCCGTCTTGGAGGCCATCTTGGGCGTCTGGGAGGCCATCTTGGGCGTGTTGGAGGCCTCTTGGGCCCTCTTGGGGCCCTCTAGGGGCCATCTTGGAGGCCACTTGGGCCATCATGGGGCTCTCTTGGGGGCCTCTTGGGCGATCTTGGGGGCTTCTTGGGCCGTCTTGAGCCGTCGGAGAGCCGAAAAGGCGCAAATGCCAAAATCCTTCAAAAACCAAGGGAAAATCAATGATTTTGGCCTCTTCGGACTCTCCTGGAGGACCTCTTGGAGGCCTCTTGGGCCGTCTGGGAGGCCTCTGGGGGGCCTCTTGGGCCGTCTTGGGCCGTCTTGGACTCTCTTGGGCCGTTTTGGAGGCCGTCTTGGACCATCTCGGGCGGACTTGGAGGCCATCTTGGGCCATCTTCGCGATTTTTTGAGGATGTCCCGAGCGAAACGGCCGTTTTTGGGCATTGACAGACGGATTTTCTGGAATTTACGCGTGGCCGGCGGGACGGGCCGAAGCCCACTGGGGAGTTCTAAAACCAAAACCTGAAACGTCCAGCACGCCGTGCACCCCTGCAAGCAGGGGGCGGCGGATCGAAGACGCCTACGGCGAATCACCGCCGCCCCCTGCCTTTTTGGAAGCGCCTATGTGGCCGAACGTTGAGGCCAGACCTGCCAAGCTATCGGACCACGTGTTCCCCGAATCGGTTTGGAAAGCCTTCGGGGAACACGTGGGCATCTTGAAGGTCATCTTGGCCGTCTTGGAGGCCTCTTGGGCAAGCTTTGGGCGATCTTTGGGGCTTTTTGGGCCGTCTCGGGCCAGCTTCGAGCCAACTTCGGCCATCTTGGTGGGTTCCTGGCACGTCTGAAGCCGTCGGAAGCCGTTTGGGGGGCCTCTATGGGCCGACTTGGGGCCCGCTTGGAATGCTCCAGGGCCGTCTTGGAGGCCATCTTGGGCGTCTGGGAGGCCATCTTGGGCGTGTTGGAGGCCTCTTGGGCCCTCTTGGGGCCCTCTAGGGGCCATCTTGGAGGCCACTTGGGCCATCATGGGGCTCTCTTGGGGGCCTCTTGGGCGATCTTGGGGGCTTCTTGGGCCGTCTTGAGCCGTCGGAGAGCCGAAAAGGCGCAAATGCCAAAATCCTTCAAAAACCAATGGAAAATCAATGATTTTGGCCTCTTCGGACTCTCCTGGAGGACCTCTTGGAGGCCTCTTGGGCCGTCTGGGAGGCCTCTGGGGGGCCTCTTGGGCCGTCTTGGGCCGTCTTGGACTCTCTTGGGCCGTTTTGGAGGCCGTCTTGGACCATCTCGGGCGGACTTGGAGGCCATCTTGGGCCATCTTCGCGATTTTTTGAGGATGTCCCGAGCGAAACGGCCGTTTTTGGGCATTGACAGATGGGTTTTATGAGATTTACGGGTGGCCGGCGGGACGGGCCGAAGCCCACTGGGGAGTTCTTTTAGAAAAAGAACCAAAACCAAAACCTGAATCATCCAGCACGCCGTGCACCCCTGCAAGCAGGGGGCGGCGGATCGAAGACGCCTACGGCGAATCACCGCCGCCCCCTGCCTTTGTGGAAGCGCCTATGTGGCCGAACGTTGAGGCCAGACCTGCCAAGCCATCGGACCATGTGTTCCCCGAATCGGTTTGGAAAGCCTTCGGGGAACACGTGGGCGTCTTGATGGTCATCGTCGCCGTCTTGGAGGCCTCTTGGGCGATCTTTCGGCGATCTTTGGGGGCTCTTGGGCCGTCTCGGGCCGTCGGAAGGCCGAAAAAAGGGAAATGCCCAAATCCATCAAAAACCTTGGGAAAATCAGTGATTTTGGCATCTTTTGGCCTTCCTGGAGGCCCTCTTGGGGGCCTCTTGGGCCCTTTTGGGCCAGCTTCGAGCCAACTTCGGCCATCTTGGTGGGTTCCTGGCACGTCTGACGCCGTCGGGAGCCGTTTTGGGGGCCTTTCTGGGCCAACGGGGGACCCTCTTGGGGCGCTCCAGGGCCGTCTTGGAGGCCATCTTGGGCGTCTTGGAGGCCATCTTGGGCGTGTTGGAGGCCTCTTGGGCCCTCTTGGGGCCCTCTAGGGGCCATCTTGGAGGCCACTTGGGCCATCAGGGGGCTCTCTTGGGGGCCTCTTGGGCGATCTTGGGGGCTTCTTGGGCCGTCTTGAGCCGTCGGAGAGCCGAAAAGGCGCAAATGCCAAAATCCTTCAAAAACCAATGGAAAATCAATGATTTTGGCCTCTTCGGACTCTCCTGGAGGACCTCTTGGAGGCCTCTTGGGCCGTCTGGGAGGCCTCTGGGGGGCCTCTTGGGCCGTCTTGGGCCGTCTTGGACTCTCTTGGGCCGTTTTGGAGGCCGTCTTGGACCATCTCGGGCGGACTTGGAGGCCATCTTGGGCCATCTTCGCGATTTTTTGAGGATGTCCCGAGCGAAACGGCCGTTTTTGGAGGATTTTTTCCGGTCGTTGAGCACCCTTCCGGGTGGCCGGCGGGTTCTGCCAAAGCCCACTGGGGAGTTCTTTGGGGAAAAGAACCAAAACCAAAACCTGAAACATCCAGCACGCCGTGCACCCCTGCAAGCAGGGGGCGGCGGATCTATTGGCCTTCGGCCTATCCCGCCACCGCGCCTGGGTGGTGGCGCGGAGGCCTCATGGATGTTGGTTGGGCTCTCGTGGTTGGCCTCTCGGGGGCCTCTGGGAGGTAGTTTTGGGGCCTCTTGGGGGCCGTGTTGGGGCCTCTTGGGAGCTTCTTGGGGCTTCTTGAGGTGCCTCTTGGGGCCCCTTGTGGGCTCCTTGGGGCTTCTTGGGGGCCTCTTGAAGCCTCATGGGGGCCTCTTGGGGCTGAAGGCTGGAGTTTTCAGTTCCTGGCCCCATTCTTGGGCCCCTCTTGGGCCGTCTTGGACGCCTTTTGGTGCCCTCCTGGGCCGTCTTGGGGCCCTCTCTCTTGGGCCCATCTTGGGGGCGTGTTGGGCCGTCTGGGAGCGATGTTGGAGGCCTCTGGGGCACTTCTGGGCGCTGTGAACCCTCCAAATTCGCACATGCGAAAAATGTGCGCTTCCCAACGGGAACGGGACGATCTTTGCTTCTTGGGGCCCTCTTGGAAAGCCTCTTGAGGCTCTCTTGGATTTTTTTCGCGGCCTTTGGGACCATCTGGAGACCATCTTGAGCGCCTTGAAACGTTCTTTTGGCGACTCGGAGTCTCTTGGGCCGTGTAGGGGGCGCCCCGGCGCCCTCCTGGCGCGCTCCTGGAGCGCCCGGGTATCGCCCGAGCATCGCCTGGGCATCGCCCGGGCATCGCCCGGGCGTCGGCCGGGGTGGGGCCCCCAGGGGCCGCCACGCGCGCGTGACCTATAGAAATATTGTCAACCTGTCTCCGGAGATCTTAGCACGCCTCTGGCCCGTTGGGCCGGCGAATTTCCTCGCGAACCCCAGCGAAGAGAAACTAAACGAGCCATCTCTACATCCCACAGATTCTGCGTGTCCGACAGTTGCCGCAGGTCTTACAGGTCCCACAGGCCACAGAGGTCCCCAGGTCCCTCAGGTCCCACGGGTCCCGCAGTTCACACAGGTCGCACAAGCCCACCGTTCCCACGTGCCCCACAAGTCTCGCAGATCGCACAGGTCCCACAGGCCGCACGGGCTTCCCAGGTCCAACATGTGCCACAGTCTGCACAAGTCCCACCGTCTCGCTTGCCCCCCAGGTCCCACATCCCGCACAGGTCCCATTGGCCCCACAGGTCCCACGCGTCCCACAGGTCCCGCAGGGCCCACGGGTCCCACAGGCCCCACGCGTCGCACGGGCGCCACAGGCACCGCAGGTCGTGCAGGCCGCACAGGTCCCACAGGCCCCGCAAGTTCCACAGGCCCGAGAGGCCCCATCACAGGTGCCGCATGCCCCACAGATCCCACAGATCCCACAGGTCCCACAGGCCCCACAGGCCTCACAGGCTTCACAGGTGCCCCAGGTCTCACAGGTCCTACAGGTCGCACGAGCCCCAACGGTCCAAGTCGTACAGGCCGCACAGGCCCCACAAGTTCCACACGCCTCACAAGTTCCGCAACTCCCAAAGGTCCCTCGGCTCTCACATGTCCCACAGGTCTCACGGGTCCCACAAGTCCCACAGGTCCTACATGTCCAAGAGGTCGCACACGTCCCACAGGTTCCACATGTCCTACAGGTCCTGTAGGCCTCACAGGTCGCTCAAGTCCCACCGTCCTCACTTGCCCCGCAGGTCCCACAGGCCCCACATGGTCCCACAGGTCGCGCAGGTTTCAGAGGTCCCAAAGGTCTCACAGGTCCCACATGCCACACGAATTTCAGAGGTCTTTTGTTTCTATTAGGGCGCCTTGCCGGGGTAATCCTATTCAGGTCCAGGGAGGGCATTGCCTCGGAATTGTCAAGCTCGGCCCATCAGAGGCCCCAAGAGCGCGCCGAAAATCTTCAGAGGTAGCCTCAAAGGCACGAGGGACGGGCCCAAAGGACCCCAGGAGAACCCCAAGGGGTTCAAGCGGCTCAAAAAAATGCCTGGCGACGCCCTGATATACATTCACAGCGGGGCCAAGAGCCCACGACAGCTTCAAACGGTTACTTGCGTAGCTTTCTCAAGCGTCCCATAAGCTCTCTGCGAGCAGCCTTGAGGCGCTCTTCGTGCTTGTATGTTAGACTCGTGCTGACTGTCATACATGTTGTTCTCCATGCCGCCATGAAACCACTGTTGCGACTGCGCCCGGCTAGAACCTTAGTATTTGTACACATACATACACACGTGTGCATGCCGACGGAAATTATATATAGATATATATGCACATACATACATACATACATACATGTATGTCCTGCCGCCCGTTGGCGCTCCAGAGGCCCTGGCCAAGGGCCTCAGCGCCCCCCTCCTGTACGCCGCGGCGGCCGTCGAGCGCTGGGCGGCGCCCAGCGACCCTGGCGCGGCACCGCACGTGGCCAGCTTGTTGTCGTCGCCGCCGCCGCCGCCGGGAAGCGCAGACGACGTCGTCAAATTTGTCGGTTCTCCGATCATGAGTGGGCTTGCGTCCGTCGCCGCCGACGCCGTCGGCGTCATCGTCGCTCGTCACTCGAGGAGGCCGCCTTTCTGCCACGGCGCGGCCGGGGCCTCTCGCAGGTGGCCAGCGGGGACGGCGGCGCCCTGGCCGAAGAGGCGAGCAGGCGAGCCCGCTGTCGCCGCGGCCGGCGGCGCGCGGGGGGGCCCGTGTGCAGTTGCCGGGAAGCGGGGCGCGCAGGACGTGGCGACTCCGCGTAAAAGTGACCTTTCGCCGGAGTGACGGGCCCACTGGTGTCGCCCGATCGCTGAACGCGAAGCGGCAGCAGCGGCTTGCGCGCCGGGGTTAGGCCACCCCGCGTCCTCCGTCAAGTCGCGCACCAGAGGTCGCTCTTGCCCAGGGTCGCTCTGACGTGTAGCCGAACGTGGCCAGCGTGGGCGAGAGATGGACGATGCTCCGGGGAGGGCAAGGCACCGATGCCGATAGCTGCCTGGCCTCGTGCCCGCCTTTTCTGGGCCTCCTGGGAGGCCCTCGTCGCCACGGCCAGAGTCGCCTCGAAGTTCTTGTCAAAGTGCACCCGGGGAGAGGTCTGGAGAACCGGGGCAGCAGCACAGTTCGGTTGCCCTGGATACAAGCGTGGCCGCATTCATTTCCAGTGTTCGACCCACGTGTGGCTCAGCTCGCCGGCCGTCCAGTCGTAATCCATGTAGCCAGCACGTGGCTTCCGTGTGTTTCGCGTGTGAGTCCAGGCGCATGTGCTTCCGGGGCTTCTTGGTGCACACCCGGGGCCAGTCGCTGGAGTAACCTTTTTCGGGGGGACACGGGGGATCTGGGGGGGAACCCAACCACGCAGACCATTATTGTCGCACGCCGCATGCCAAAAGTCATTATTTCCTAGGGTCACTCTCGCGTGCAGCCGAGTCCTTACCGTCCTCGTCGTCCGCGTCGTCGGGGTGACGACCCGTCAACGCATGTCTGCATATGCGCACACAGACAACATTCTTCCTTGTATACAAAAACTCACAACATCTTAGCCAACGGGGCTCCAACCAGTGCGTTCTAGCAATACATGTTGTGCAGTCTATGTGGCCGGAGGCGTCGGCCGACACATGGGTGGAGCTTATGGACCCACGCTCATCTCCAGGCTCCGCTGGAAGGCCTGCCTCTTTGGCGGGCGACCTTTCGCGGCGCCCACTGCCACGGCTACCGCCTCAGCTGCGTCTGGGCGCCGCAGGGTGAAGAGCGGGCGCGCGGCCCAGCAAGTCGACTTCGCCACGGATCTTCGGATCAACGGTGACCCTGGGCTGCAGGACCGACGCCTCTTCGATGAGATCGTCTCCCACGTGTGCCAACATGCTGGCTTGCAGCTCAGCGCCTACGACGCGGCTAACGAGCAGCACAGCGGCTTCTGGAAGCATCTGGCCTCACATGACGCACCGGCGCCGCCAGGGCGCGCCCGCCCCTATCTCGGCAGCCGCGAGGAGGTCGTGCGGGTCCACAGCGCGCTTCACGGCCAGGTCGTCCAGGTGGGGGGCGACTGGCTGGCGGTCACTGCTCTCAACGACCTGATGGACGCGGCCCCCCTGACGGGAGGGAAACGGGGGCCGGGTGTTCTATCTGGACGCCCGAGATGGGCACGGAAAGAACGGGTACGATGCCCAACAGCAGTTCCTGTTCATTCTGAACCGGCTTCGCTGTCCGCGCCGCCGCGGCCTGTGTCCATTCGAGACAGAAGGCCGCCCGCCCAACAGCGGCCGCTGTTGGTTTGGGACAACATTTGTTGTTGGGCATTGTACCCATTCTTTCGGTACCCATCTCGGGTGTCCAAATTCTAGACGATCCCCAGGCATCCAGATCAGCGGAGGATCGCACATGCACGCCCACCGGAATTCAGATTTTTGAGGCCGATGGTTCCGCTCGTTGGCTACTTGACCTCGGCCTGTCCCTCCGCTGCCCCGTTGGGCTTCCGAGTGCTAGGGTCCAGGCCGACGTCGACATCAGCGGGGTCGCAGATGGCTCCAATTCAGCAGCACAAGTCCGTTCTTCATCCTCCTCTACCTCTTCGCGATGGTCCCCCTACCCCCTCCCACGGCTGAGGCCGCCTATTCCGGCTCTTCCTCTACATCAGCTGCATTGGGTACATGTCGGCGATGCGGCTGCTCTGTTTGATCGCGACGTCCCTCTCCACGTTCTACGTCAGCAGGCCGTCCGATGGGCAATCGGGGTCGGCTCGGCCCCTTCCCCTCCGCCCCGGTGCTACGGCAGGCGATCGGGCTCAGGCTCCTGAGGGGGCACGGGTTCCGCCAGCTAGCGGGCACTGTGCTGGGAAGCTGTCCATGGTCACCTGGAACACCCAGGCACTCTTCACCGTGGACCTCGGCAAGCACCGGGACCGGTCGTGGCAGGTACGCCAGCTGATGACCTCACACGACGTTGGCTGCTGGTCGAGGACCCACGGTACGGCGGACCGCTGCAGGGCGTGGCGGAATCCGCCGGGCTGCTCATCCTGGTGGTCGCCGGGCCCCTCTGCGGCGAGCGCAGGCGTCGGGATCACGGCGCGGGATGATTTCCTCAAGCTCTTCGAAAGCGCGCGCTTCGAGGTAGTCTTCCCAGGCAGGGCAGCTGCCCTTCGCCTCTCGGGCTCGCGCGGCTGTCTGGACATCTTCTCGGTGTACTTCCCCACAAGGGACTCGGCACATGTGGACGACATGATCGAGGCGGGCTTCGATCCAGCGGGCCGTAGGGCGTCCAACTTCGAGTTGCGCGAGGCTCTTCGCCGTCGCCTTGCTTTGCAGGTGCGTCCCCGGGACCAGGCCATGAGCATGATCGCAGGGGACTTCAATTTCGTTACCTCTGAGGCGGACCGGACTTGTACATACTTGGCTACTGCTAGGGGCAGCCACGACTACAGGGATCCGGCCCGCTGGCGCGACATACTTGGAGTGCCATTCGGCTTCCACGAGTTCTATCAGCCAGAGCCCACGTACGCCTCGCCCAGCTCCCGGTCTCGCCTCGACCGCGTGTACTCCAACCAGTACGACACACTGCTCTCCACTGGTGCCCCGCGCTCTCCCGGCATCGCCAAGTCAGCGTGAGGAAGTGCCTCCCGGAGGGCGGCGGCGACGCGGAGCGGCCTCTCTGCGACCAGGTGCTGGACCACCCGGAGTGGCCTCAGCAGGTGTCGCTGGCTTGGCATACCATCCTCCGCGACCGCACTGGCGCTTCGGCCATCTCCAAGCCGCAAGTACTCAAAGAGGCCATGCGGCTCGCCGAGCGGGCCCTGTCCGCCCGGGTCGGGGAGGCGCCGCCAGCCGAGGCTCTCGAGGACCACATCGGCGTTTCCATGAAGTTCTTCCAGGCTTCGAAGGCGGGCGTTCCTGAACGCGTTTCGCGCTGCCTGGAGCGTTATCCGCTGCTTCGCGACCTGGTGCGGAATCCGTACGACTTCTACTCGCCGGCCGGCTCGCGGCTGGCTCGAGTGCGCCGTCAGATCATGGACCCCCAACGGGACTTCACCATGCATGAACTCAATAGCTTGCACGAGGACCTCCGTGATTTGGATCCCGCCCAAGCGGCGCGGCGGCGGCGCAGGAATCGACACCTGGCGTGCCGCCTCGCCCCCGGTCGCAGCTGCCAGCGGTAGACGCGCCGTCTGGAGATGCCACCACCGACCCCCAGGAGATGCTGCGGCTGATCCGGGAGCATTGGGAACGAGTCTTCCAGCGGCGCGACGTGGACGAGGGGATAATGGCGACGTGGCTGCGCGAGGATGCCCAGCATCTACCTGCGAACTACCAGGACCACCTCCCCCACTCCACGGTTCCTCGGGACAATTTCCGGAAGGCCATTTGCTCACGAAGACTAGCGCACCTGGCCGCGATGGCATCCCATTCAAGGCTTGGCGAAAGATCGCGGATCTCGCGGCTGACGTTTTCGAGGCGGCCTACCAGGAGATGGTTGCCCCCGACGGCTTGGCCCGGATGAGGGCGGAATGGGTGTCCTTCAATGAAAGTTGTATGGTCTTTCTGCCAAAGGAGGCGTCGTCCACGCTCCCAGACGGCACTGAAGTGTTCACCCCTGGCAACCTGCGGCCCCTCAGCATCGCCAACACCGGCAGCCGCATCTTGGGCAGCGCCGTGCGTCTGCACATCGAGCCCATCGTGACCCCCGGGATTTTACCTACGCTCGTGGGTTCCTGAGCGGCCGCTCCATGATTGCCAATGTAATGTACGTCGAGGAGGCCATGCTGGACTCCGCCCTCTCCCAGGACAGCCCTGTGGCAGTTTTCCTGGACTTCGAGGCGGCTTCCCCCGCCTCAGCCAGGAGTTCATCCAGCGCGTCTTGGAGACGCGAGGATGGCCGCTCTGGATGGATCGGTTCGTGTCGTGCTCGTGCGACAGCAGCTTCTGCGTCCTCTCTATATGTGGCGCCGCAGGCCCAGGTTTCGGGGTTGCCGCGGGGGTCAGGCAAGGATGCCCACTTTCGCCGCTGCTCTTGTCCATCATCTCAGACGTCTTGCTTCGTCGGGTCCAGCGCTTGTCGCCCGAGGTCCTGATCAGGGCCTACGCGGATGACATTGCGCTCGTCCTGCAGCGGCTGCCAGAGGCCAGGCGGTTGGAGATCATTCTCGGCGATTGCGAGCTCATCTCCTGCCTCAAGCTCCACGGGAGAAAATCAGCGATTGCGCCGTTGTCCCTGCGTGGGAGCGGCGAGATCCGGGCCGCCGTCGCCGCAAAAACTCGTACTTGGGGCACCTTTAGCGTCGCCAGGCACGCGAAGTACTTCGGGTTCCTTCTCGGACCCACCCGCGGCGCGGAGGCCTGGGAGGAGGCGCAGGTCTGGAAGGGCATCGGGGGCGGCATGCTAGTCTCGCTCACTGCGCTACGCACGTACGTGCCCCCACTGGTTGGTTTCCTGGTGCAGCTGGAGGAGCTACCGCCGACCTGGAAGCAGGAGGAGCTGCGGTTGGTGAACACGCTGTTCCCTGGCGCTCGGGGTTGGACGTCCCCCGCGCTCATGCAGAATCTGCGCAGCTTGGGCTTCCCCATGCGGATATGCCGAGCATGGGGCCCACGGCTCTCGGCGCCAAGTGCCGGGTCCACTGGTGGGAGGACGCGGGCTGCGGGGGTCTCCAGGTTTGCAGTCGTTTACTACGCCCCTCCGCGA